CGTGTGGTAGGGTATGTGTGTGTGGAGGCCTGAGGTCAACTCTGGTGTTGTTCCTAAGGAGCTTTTTTTCTGAGACAGCGTCTCTATGTAGCCCTGGCTGGCCCTAAATTCCCTATGTAGACCAGGCTGGCCTCCAGCTCACAGAGATCCACCCACCTGCCTTTGCCTCCATAATGCTAGAATTAAAGGTGGGTACCATGACAGTTGTCCCCCCCGCCCCCGTCGTTTTATTAAACAGTGTTTCTCATTTTTCATTGACCTGTAATTGACCAATCAGGCCAGGCTGACTAGCAGACCCCAGGAATCCACGTAGCTCCACCCCTGCAGCACTGGGATTACAAGTGTGCACCATCACCCTGGCTTTTTACCTGGGTGCTGGGGTTCAAACTTGGGTTTTCATGATTGCAAGGACTTTACTAGCTGAGCCATCTCCCCAGGCCCCTCTTTGGTGTTTACTGAGAAAGACTGCTGCCTGAACTCCGCACTTGTCATGTTCCACACGTTGAAGTCTCCAGTCTCCTTCACCCCCAACTCTTTATCCTTCCTCCAAAAATCAGGAGTTGATACCTGTTCTGACTTGGGGACTTGATTAAAAAATACATTGTACACTTGTCTTCCAGATGTTTGACTAGAAGCAGAAGTGCTTCTTCTAGAGAGAACTCTTTTGTCCCAGTTTTCTTCTGGTGAATTGTACCCATTGAAACTTGATCTTGAATGATCTTACGGTTACCCAAGCCCTAAAGCCTGAAAGCCCTAAGTAAAAGCATACATCGCTGAAGTGTTCCATATAGCAAGGCACAAGTCTAAAATAGGTAACTGGCACACACCCCACACCTCATTGTTGGCTAATTCACTCATCCATAAATAGCTCAGTGTTACTCAATCAGACAGCCGCCACTAACAGAGGAATCTTTGCTTCCTGACACACGTGTGCACTCTCTGGTAGTCAACAAAACTCAGATCCAATGCACTGGACTGTGGCTTGGTTCTTAGGAGAATTGTGCAGATCAGTAGCTAAATCATTTTTAAATGAGATTCAAGATCCATACTACTGAAAAGAGTGAGAGCAAGGTCTGGTTTTAATGTCTTCATTGTATACTGTTGCTTCCCCAATGTTAATCCCAGAACCTCTTTGCCAAATCCATTAAAATTCTCAACTGAGTCTTAGAAGGCATCCTGGCAGTTTTATAAAGCCATTTTCCTGAAATCAAAAGCATGGATTTTGTTCTTGGTGTTTTAATTTTGCTGTTGTTTCTTTAAGACAGGATTGCATGCCTTAAGCTTACATACTGGAAGGTGGTCTCCTTCACCTGCCTCCTCCTGAATTCTGGGATTATAAATGCATATCACTCCAAGAACTTGGTTTAAAAACAAAAACTTCTCAGCCAGGCATGGTGGTGGCACACACCTTTAATCCCAGCACTCAGGAGGCAGAAGCAGGCGGATCTCAGGGAGTTCAGAGGCCAGCCTGGTTTCCATAGTGAATCCAGGCCAGCTGGGGCTACTGGGAGACCCTGTCTCAAAAAGACCAAAACAAAAACTTCTCTCCCGGCATGATAATGCATGCCTTTAATCCCAGCACTCGGGAGGCAGAGGCAGATGGATCTCTGAGTTCCAGGCCAGCTGGGGCTACTGAAAAACCCTGTCTCCAAAACAAAACAAAACTTCTCACTGTTAACTGAGACTATGGCACAAACCTGTAATCCTAGGTTAGAAGATGGCAGGTTCAAGGCCAGCCCAGACTACAGAGTGACCTCAGTCAGCCCGGACAACTGAATGAGACCCTGTCTCCAAATAAAAAGAGCCAGGTGTGGTGGCACATGCCTTTAATTCCAGCACTTGGGAGACAGAGGTAGGTGGCTCTCTGTGCGATTCAGACCACCCTGGTCTACATAGCGAGTTCCAGGCCAGCTGGGGCTACAGGGAAACCCTCTTTAAAAAAAACAAAAAACATCAAACTGGGGCTGGAGAGATGGCTCAGTGGTTAAGAGCACTGATTGCTCTTGCAGAGGACCCAGGTTCGATCCCCAGCACTCAGCATGGCGTCTGCGAACCGTCCTTAACTCCAGTTCCAGGGGAATGCAAAGCCCTCTTCTGACCTCCGTGGCATTGCACGACACAGGTGCACTCACATACATGCAGGCAATACACTCATACACAGAAAAAAATAAAATAAATATTTTTTTAAAAAATCAAGCCAAACTAAACCAAACAAAAAAAGAAGTTAAAAGAGAACTAGGAGTATAGCTCAGTTGTAGAGCCCTTGTATGGCATGTGTAAGGTCATAGGTTCAACCTCCAGGACAAAACAAAACAAAAACAAAAACCACCCAAACCCACTAACTTCTCACTATTGGGATACAATAGTCCTTTCTTACTTCTCTTAGTTGAAACGTAGTGTTTTTGTGTCTGAAACGTTTCTGCATGCTCTAATCTAACAGAATACTGCTCTATAAATTCCATAGCAGTAACCCCAAAGGTGAATGCTGAGGTATTTTGCCAGATAAGCCTGTGCAGTGTATGGAAGCATGGCTGCCAAGCTAGTTAGTGATAATATAGATAATATACAGGGTCTAGTCTGCTGCAAATATTTTCACTTTTCTTCACTGAGCTCTTTTTCAGATTGCTGGCATGTTCCTCCATTTCTTAAATACCAAATCTAAAATGACTTTTTAAATCCTTCTGTGATTATGATCGTTGAAATGCTGCTTAGCATTGTAGGCAATTTCAAACAAAAGAAAAGGCCAGGTCTAGGATCTCGAAGCTCCTGGCAGTTCTTTCCCAAAAGCTAGTTTTGTGCTTGTGTTTATTGGACCTCAATAGAGCTTCATAGACCCAGCTGGGGACCTTCCCATGGCCATGCTGAGTTGTCTACATTTTGAAAACATAAAGCTCAAGGTCAGATCAACAATATTGATCTTGGAGCTGGAGAGATGGCTCAGCAGTTAAGAGCACTGGCTGACCCATGGCTGCTGGGAAGGGGAGATTGAGTCTTGTTTAAAGGTGAGACTCGGTAGGGTTGACCAGGCTCCGTGTATGAACCCACACCAAAAGGCATTTGGGAACACAAACCTGACTCTATAAGTCCTTTTATACATATACATATGTGCGTGTGTGCGCGCGCGCGCAGAGAGAGAGAGAGAGAGAGAGAGGAGGTTAGTAAGGGGGTGCAGAAATGAAAAGGGATCTAAATATGATCAAAGTATATTGTATGCAATTGCAGAGGACCCAGGTTCAATTCCCAACACTCACGTGGTGGCTAACAACATCTGTTATTACAGTTCCAAGGAATCTAATGCCCTCTTCTGGCCTCTTCAGGCACTGTATGCATGTGGTACATGCTCATACATGCAGGCAAAAACTCATACACATAAAAATAAAAATAAGCCGGGCATGATGGTGCATGTCTTTAATCCCAGCACTCAGGAGGCAGAGGCAGGTGGATCTCTGTGAGTTCAAGGCCAGCTTGGTCTACATTGTGAGTTCTAGATCAGCTGGGGCCACAGGGAGACCCTGCCTCAAAAAGACCAATTAAATAAATAAATAAATAAATAAATAAATAAATAAATAAATAAATAAATAAAAAGAAAGAGTACATGAAGTTTAATAAAGGTACAGATATCTGAGCATAAAATTTATGCTGATCTTCTTGATTGTATCATAATATTTTTACCTACATACCCTGCATGACACAAGTACACTTACATACATGCAGGCAATACACATAAAATAAAAATAATAAATAAAATATTTTAAAAAATAAAATTGAAAAAAAAGAATATTAGTCTTGGGCAGGTGAGATAGTTCAGCAAATAAAGGCATTTTCCATGTGACCTGGCAACCCGAGTTTGATCCCCAGAACCTACGTAAAGCTGGAAGGAGAGAACCAACTATAAAGTTGCCCTATGACCTTCACCCATGCTCTGCGTGTCATGTGTACCCTCCTCCACACATAATACACACATAATAAAGAAAAAACTTATCAAGACTTGATCTTTAGTGTATCAAACGGAGTAATAGCATTTACTTTTAAACCATGAATATTTACTCTAGTGGGTTGGAAAGGGGACTACTAGGGAAAACCAACCAACCAACCTCAGATCTTTGTTTAACAGGTTGTGAACCATGGCGATGTGGATACAAGCTCAGCAGCTCCAGGGAGATGCCCTTCACCAGATGCAAGCCTTGTATGGCCAGCATTTCCCCATTGAGGTGCGCCATTATTTATCCCAGTGGATTGAAAGCCAAGCCTGGTAGGTGAACAAAGTTTTTGCATCATAATTTGTGAAGCATGGGATTTTGAAGTTTGGGTCTGGAGAGATGGCTCAGCGGTTAAGGTCCTCTGTTTTTGCAGAGGACCCACATTCAGTTCCCAGCACCCACATGGTGACTAACAACCACCTGTAACTCTGGTTCCAGGGGATCGGACATCCTGTTCTGGCCTCCGTGGGCATTGGCATGCACATGTAGACTTACATACATACAGATAAAACACTAAAACACATTAAAAAATTATTGAAGCTTGATTAGAAAGATGTTATGGTAAAGACTTTATTAAAGGTTGTGTGTAAGCTGGGCATGGTGGCATATGCCTATAATCCCTGTGATCTCAACACTTAGGATGCTAAGGCAGGAGGTTGAAGACAACCTGGACTGCATAGTGAGACCCTATCCCTATCTTTAAAAAAAAAAAAAAAACAAACACTGTGTGTTTGGGGCTGGTGTGTAGCCTAGTGGTAGAGTGTATACACAAGGCTCTGTAGTCCATCCTCAGCACCCATCTCCAAGAAAAGCTGTTTTAAAAAAAATTTTTTTTGGTGTTTTTGAGACAGGGTCTCCCTGTAGCCCCAGCTGTCCTGGAACTCACAATGTAGACCAGGCTGGCCTTGAACTTACAGAGATCCACCTGCCTCTGCTGGGATAAAGGTATGCACCAGCAAGCCTGGCCCAAACAGCAGAGCTATTTAAAGAGAGCTTAATATTTAATGGATCAATTAAGGTCTGTATATGCATATAATTTAATCATGCTTTATTATAATCTGTTGTATAAAATATTTTACATTTATTAAGAAATTACATCTTTTGTTTTGGTTTTGGGATATATTTTTAAGGTTTTTTGAGATGGGGTCTCTCTCACATAGCCCGGGTTGGCCTTGAAATCCTGATCCTCCTGCCTTCCTCTCCCAAGTGCTAAGATTATAGGTATGTGCCACACCATTCCAGCTAAAATTATATTAAAGTATATAAACTTTTTTTTTTTTTTGTCTTTCTGAGACAGGGTCTCCCTGTAGCCCCAGCTGTCCTGGAACTCACTATGTAGACCAGGCTGGCCTCAAACTCACAAAGATCTGCCTGCCTCTGCCTCCCAAGTGTTAGGACTAAAGGCGTGCACCACCACTCCTGGCTAAACTTATTATTTTTTATTTATGTGTTTGTGTCTGTGAGTGAATGCCACATGTGTGGATTCCTGGGGAGATCAGAAGGAGGCATCAGATTCCTTGGAGCTGGAGATTTAAGTAGTTGTGAGCTGTCTGATGTGGGTGCTTGGGACCAAACTCAGGTCCTCTGCAAGAGCAGGAAGTAACCTTAACTGCTGAGTCATTTCTCCAGACCCTGAAATTTGCATCTTATAAAACAAATATTTTATAAAATAATTTAACAGTGGAAGCATTGTTTTTTAAATTTGTGTGTGTGTGTGTGTGTGTGTATATATACATATATATATAGAGAGAGAGACAGAGAGACAGAGAGAGACAGACAGACAGACACCAAAATACATCAAAATAGGCTGGGGGTGGTGGCACATGCCTTTAGTCCCACCACTCAGGAAGCAGAGGCAGGCTGTTCTCTGTGAGTTCAAGGCCAGCCTGGTCTACATAGTGAGTTCCAGGCCAGCTGGGGCTTCAGGAGACCCTGTCTCAAAAAGACAAAAAAATAAAAATAAGAATATTAATAGTGGGTGAGCAAGATGGCTCAGGGGGTAAAGGTACATGCTGAAAAGCATGACAACCTGAGTTCCAGCCCCAGAACTTATATAGTAGAAAGAGAACTGATTCCTGAAAGTTGTCCTCTGATCTCCTCATGCATACCATGGCACATGTATATACACACACACACACAATCAATCCATCAGTCAATCAAATTAATATTTAATAAATACTAAAAACAGGCCAGCAACATGGCTCAACAGGAAAAGATGCTTTCCACCAAGTCTAATGATTTGAATTCAGTCCCCTTAACCCACATGGTGGAAGCACACATACCACACACACACACAATGTTTTTTTAATACTAACAATGATTACATTTCAGGGTTGACTTGGTGAACATCTTTATTTGTTTTCCGAATTAATGATTACATACTTGAAGGAGGGTGCTTTAAAATTCTGTTAGAATTGACATCATGCAGTTCAGTTTTGGTGACAATAGATAGAGCTTATTTTACAGCGCTGGGGATTCAAACCCAAAGCTCATCCCATGCTGGGCAGACCTTGTACCACTGCACTGCTCTCCCAGCCCAGCAGTGTCATGACTGACAGCATTGTTATACACTAGCAGCAGGTTGTGCCCTGCTGTGCCCAGGGCAGGGAGTTTGGCTGCTTGGCCCCAGTCTGTCAGCCAGTCAACATGTTCATTAGACCAGCCAGGCTTCCACCAGGGTGGTGGGATTCTGTTTACCGCCCCCAAGGAGGAGCCCAGCCCCCATCTGCTGTTGGAATAAGGCAGTCTACCCATCGGTCATGTTGTCTTGAATAATTGCAACTGCTTGTTAGCAAATTTCTGTTCAGAAAGGAGAGTGGCAAAGGCAGGCAATTTTGTAGGCAATTAAAAAAAAAAATCCCAGCTTCATATAATTAAGAGGGGAAAAAAAAAAACCCAACTAAATAGAACACCAAGTGCACCAGGCTCAGTGCTTTTCCATCCCCTTTTCATTTTTCTGTTATAATGATTTGAACGATTTAGAAAAACATTAATCAGAAGTTTTTGTTGACTTAAAACCTCACTTATCCTGGTGTGGTGGCACACGCCTCTAATCCCAGCTCTCAAGAGGCAGATGGATGGATCTCTGTGAGTTCTAGGCCAGCCTATTCTACATAGCAAGTTTCAGGCCACCAAGGGAGTCCCTGTTTCAGCCAATCAATCTATAATCAATCAAAACCTTACTTAGGGACTGGAGATGAGATGTAGGTCAATGATAGAGCATTTGCCCAGTAAACATCAGGACCTGGGTTTGATCCCCAGCACCACAGGAAAACAAGACAACTTTGATTTATTTGGCATGTGGCTACCAGGAGACTGAAGCAGGAAATCACTTGAGTTCAGGAATTCAGCCCTAGACAACATAGTGAGACCCATCAATAAATAATTTCCATTTAGCAGATTTCCCTGTTGTCTTCTTATGAATGAGTAATAAAAGACTTGTGTTGTGGGGCTGGAGAGATGGCTCAGTGGTTAAGAACACTGGTTGTTCTTGCAGAAGACCTGGGTTCAAATCCCAGTACCCACATGGCAGCTAACAACTGTCCGTAACTCCAGTTCCAGGGGATCTCATAGCCTCTTCTCTCCTCCTTGGGCATTTCACGACATGGGTGCGCTTATCTGCACGTAGGCAATACATGCATACACATAAAATAAAAATAATAATTAAAATATTTTTAAAAAAAGACTGTGGCCAGGCGTGGTTGTACATGCCTTTAATCTCAGCACTCAGGAGGCAGAGGCAGGCAGATCTCTCTGTGAGTTTGAGGCCAGCCTGGTCTCCATGGAGAATCCAGGATAGCTGGGGCTACAGGGAGACCCTGTCTCAAAAAGACTTGTGTTGCTATTAAGGAAAAACCTGGATTTAATGTAGTTTTGCTTTGTTTTTGTTTTTGTTTTGTTTTTGAGACAGGGTCTCTCTGTAGCCCCAGCTAGCCTGAACTCTGAACTTGCTGTGTAGACCAGGCTGGCCTTGAACTCACAGAGATCCCGAATGCTTCCATCTCCTGAGTGCTGGGACTAAAGTCGTGCGCCACCATACCTGGCTGGTTTTGTTTTTTCTTACAAAAATAAAGATTTGAATAAAAATTATCCAGTTCTCTATGTTGATGCTGTCTCTGTGATAGGTGGTAACTTAGTTCAAACTGAGGACCAGATTGGATTCTCTTAAGAGTGGGTTCCCGGGGCTGGAGAGATGGCTCAGTGGTTAAGAACACTGGTTGTTCTTGCAGAAGGCCCCGGTTCGAATCCCAGCACGGCAGCTAGCAACTGTCCGTAACTCCAGTCCCAGGGGATCTGACAACTTCTGTCCTCCTCAGGCATTGCACAACACGGGTGCACTTACCTACATGTAGGCAATACACTCCTACTCATAAAATAAAAATAATAAAATATTGGGGCTGGAGAGATAGCTCAGCAGCTAAGGGCACTGACTGCTCTTGCGGAAGACCCGAGTTCAGTTCCCAGCACCCACACGGCAGCTATGAACCGTTCTTAACTCCAGTTCCAGGGGAATCCGAAGCCCTCTTTTGACCTCCATGGAATTGCATGACACGGTGTACTCACATACATGTAGGCAATACTCTTACACATAAAAAAAATAATAACAAAAAAAAAATTTTTTTTTAAAAGTGGGTTCCCTATGAACCGTTCTTAACTCCAGTTCCAGGGGAATCCGAAGCCCTCTTTTGACCTCCATGGAATTGCATGACACGGTGTACTCACATACATGTAGGCAATACTCTTACACATAAAAAAAATAATAACAAAAAAAAAATTTTTTTTTTAAAAGTGGGTTCCCGGCCAGGTGTGGTGGCACATGCCTTTAATCCCAGCACTTGGGAGGCAGAGGCAGGCAGATCTCTGTGAGTTCAAGGCTAGCCTGGTCTACATAGCGAGTTCCAGGACAGCTGGGGCTACAGG